GTTTAGATTGATATCCGAGGATATGAATGTTAGTTTGGATGAAGCCAAAATAGTTAGAGAGAATAGCGTAGAATTTGGGATGTATGTACATTCTGATAAAGATTTTGATATATAATAATAAATTTTACGAAAGCATTTTATTTATATTCAATCCTATAATATGTTCATTTTATGTAAAACATATTCGATTAAAGATTTTTTTGTAAAATCACAATTACTTTAGAAGAATAATATGTATCAAAAATACAACGCCAAGTTTGCCACATTAAGATATTTGAATTGTTTTATTGTGATGATTCTATCAAAAATTAACGAACAATTTACAAAAAAAGAATAATATCAAACATACAATGCCAAGTTTGCCATACATTAACAAGATTTTTAAATTGTTTCATCGTGATGGTCCTAATCAAAACTTTATGAACAATATTTAATAAAATTTATATTAAATTGTTTTATAGAATTCACAAACACTTTATAAAAAGAATAATAGATTTTGTATTGGATTGTTTTACCATCTTTGTACTTAATGATAGAAATTTTTCAATATTTTCAAGTTATAAAAGGAAGAGTTAGCTACCTTTAGTTCATTAAAAAAAAACAAAATGTCTGATCAAGAAGTAAATTATTTTTATGCTATAAACAGTGTTGCTCGTTATTGCAATACTAATGAATTGCAAGATGAATGGTCGCAATTTATGCGTTCTATACTTTTTCTCAAAAATCCCTCTGGTTCTGATGCAGATCTATTTAAGGGAATTAATAGAAAGACAAGAATAGAGCTTCTCGAACAAGTCACTTTTTCTAAAATCGAAAATAATGTTCCAAATTTTTCTTGTGACTTTGACAAACGGTTGGAGATTCCGGACCACCTTAAAGAAGTTGAAGATAATTTGAAAAAAAGACATATGCAACACTACAATAATATGATTAGTAGAAGTGACTTGAGAGTCGCTCAAAATATACATCAATTCGGAATCGATGAATTAATTAGTATCGATAAAAAGATCCTTAAAATGTAACATCGACCAATCCTCGCTTTTTTTTTATTTTTTTTATAATTTATTATTATTATTATTTTTGTAATCAGATTTTATTTACAATTTGAAATATTCATATATTTGTATTTTGAATATTAAGTTCAAATAAAGTTTCGGGTTTTACGATATTATATTTTATTGATTACCATTGATCATTAATAGTTAGATTGGCCCAAATATTTTTGGGGATACTATCATAACAATTTTTACATAATTCGTGATAGTGTACATGATTTCTACCCATAAATCCAAATACATTATGAGTTCCCGTGAGACCGTTTGTACATGTAGGAATATTGCAACAACCATTAATGATACATATATTTTTACAAAATTGTGACGCGTTACATTTTGTACATGTAGATTTATGATTTTTTTCTAATTTTTCTTTTGTGATACAATATATTTTTTTCGATGAGTCAGGGGCGTAACAATATGGAGTACCTTTTCTAATTAGAAGGGTACTTGTTCTTGTATGTTTTAACATTCGTTTGACAGGTTTGTGATCGTATTGACAATCTCCGTATACACATCTGGTACATGTTGTATACTTTTTGTGGAAAGTAACAAATGTATATTTTTTTTCTTTTTCGAAATTAATAATTTCATATGCGTTTGGGATTTGACGAAATTTCGGTAGTGTAAAAAAGGTGACCATTTTTGGAATGATGGACATGAATAATTTATGATATAGTCGGTTTGTTTTACCGAGATGTAATTGGTCTTTGAAGCTTTCGCAATGTAAGAATATCATGATGATCAATTCATTGGGAAGAAGATTAAAGAAATCGATTTCACTTTTTTTTTTCGACATTAATGATCAATTTGAGAATACAATAGATATTTATACATAAAGTATTATTTATTCTGTGAATAACCATAAAGGGTTAACTTTGGATAACCGTAAATGGTTATCATGATTTGTGATCTGTGATAATATAAAATATCATGTAATTTTGTCAAATTAAAAAAAAAAAATGAAACGATCTTCTGATTCGACCATTGAGACGAGTAAGAGAATTAAGATCACAAGTGAATCTGATAATTCTAGATTCATACTTTTTCCTATTCATTATAAGGATTTATGGGAACTTTACAAGCAAGCGCAAGCAGTTTACTGGATTGCCGAAGAAGTAGACTTAACACGTGACTTAACCGATTGGAATGAGAGATTAAATGATGATGAGAGAAGTTTCATCTCAAAGATCTTGTCATTTTTTGCAACAGCTGATGGTATTGTGAATGAGAATATTGTGGAACGATTTATGAGCGAAACTGATCTTCCCGAGGCTAGATGTTTTTATGGATTTCAGATAATGATCGAAAATGTACATGCAGAGATGTATGCATTATTGATACAAACATATATTATCGATCCAGAAGAAAGATTGCGTATGTTTCATGGGATTGATAATATTCCGTGTATCAAACGTAAGGCTCAATGGGCTCAGGATTGGACAAGAAATGAGAGACCGATCTCCGAGAGACTTGTCGCGTTTGCGATAATGGAAGGAGTATTCTTTTCTGGTGCATTTGCTGTTATCTATTGGTTAAAAAAGAAGGGATTGATGCCAGGACTTTCCCATGCCAATGAATTTATTTCACGTGATGAAGGGCTTCATTGTCAGTTTGCGTGTAGATTCTTTAATTATTTCGATCGTCCTGATGAGGGTATAATTGATAAAATTTTTCATGAGGCTATTGAAATCGAGCAAGATTTTTGGGAAGAAGTTTTGCCAGTAGAATTATTAGGTATGAACAAGTCTTCATTGGTTAAATATACAAAGTTTGTAGCAGATAGATTGTTGATAGATTTAGGTTATCAAAAAAAATATAATGCAGATAACCCATTCGAATTTATGGAAAGTATTTCATTACAAGGAAAGTCAGATTTTTTTAGCAGACGTGTATCAGAGTATAGCAGTAGTCGTCACAGTGATAAGGAAATTTTATTTGATGTAGAATTTTGATATTTTATACAAATATAATAAATACAATTAACCGACTTGCATCTGTCTTCGTGGTCGACCTCTTGGTCGTGGTGGTTGTACCCAATTGTTTTGTATGGGTTTATGAATAGCTTCATATAAACCATTTCTTAGTAAGTATATACCACCATTATATCTTCGTGTAAGTCCTCTTCGTTCATTGAGGATTGGAACATATCTGCCGGTTCTTCCACCTCTATTTGCCTTGATAGTATACAAACCTGGTAGTTGATTGGGTCGTTGTACATTGGGAAGTTGATTAGGTACGAGATGGGGATTACGTATGATATTGTCTCCTACTTTGTGAACGGGTGTCATTTGTTGATTCCCATTCAGATCAGTCTCGTGTAGATAGATTCCGTTATTGTATCGTCTTGTCATTTGACCATTGCTATTGAGGATCGGAACATGATTACCTCGTTTATTCATTGTCCATAAGTTGGGTAAGGCATTGGCAACAGGTCGTGGTTGTAGAGGTACAACTACCTGAATTACTGGTACTCTTGGTGCTGCTGGTGTTCTTGGTGCTCTCGGTCGACCTCTTGGTCGGGGTGGTGCTGGTGGAGGTTGTCTTTGAGTTCCAGATCGAAGATTATATCGATTTTGAGTCACTGGTCTTCTGGGATTAGGACGTCTAGCTGCTAAGACAAATGACGTGAGATATAACAATAATGCAAGTGATAAGAATATTTTTTTGAAATTCATGTTGTTGATTCGTGTTATGGTATGGGACATCTATTTATATAGTTTTAG